GCAGTGCCAAAGCTTCTGTTTCCCGCTAAGCCTCTTTGGTCCGCATGTAGGCGGGCCAATTCGCACCACCAAACAGTACCAACACTGGCCTTACAAATTTGTATTTTTGAGTCTCTTGTACAGAATCCACATCTATGCTTGTAAAGGACAGGGGGTATTTCCATTGTATAGCTTCCAATGTATAGCAGGTAGTATATGTTTGTTGCACGTTCAGAGAACTGGCACCAAAGAAGCTGCAAACAGAATGTAATCGCTCAGTATTAAAGATACGTAGTGGACTGAATTCGTCCTGCGAGCTCGAAGGTTATTTCCGAAGAGCCAGGAATGACTCCGGGGTCGATTGAAGAGACATGATAACATGATACTCTTATTGGGAGCATAGCCACACTGGACGTCAGACATCCCGATTTGGACTACGAGGAACTGGCTTCCGATTAGGTACTCCCAGGTTCATGGTGCGGTGCTCTGGTCGGAGTGGTCTGTGATCGGCCTGGCTGCTAAATATCTGGGGTTGATTGTCCGCTGTTGCCTGGTATTGCGGAGGGCTTTCCTCTGGAGGAATTGCCTTGTGTATTTTGAGTACGCTTTGTTGGCGGGAAACAAGAGAGACGGGTGATCCGGACCGGGACTCTGGGGGGGTTGAAGGCAGCATATCGAGGGTTTCCGCAGAGGAATTGGCCCCCTCGTTGCCGTACAGTGTCGATGCCTCAGGTGCCTTTCCAACTGGAGATCTTGCATCAGCGCCAGACTCAAACGATCTTTCGGAGGAGGCGCTTGGTGGGTTATACTCTCTACGAGGGCCATCAATTGGGCTGAGAGTATCAGCCATCGCGTCTTCGTAGCTCGGAGGTGCATCGTCGTAGCCATCTTCTGGGTTGTTAGGCGCGGGTGGCCGGGCAGGCCGAGGAGGCATCGGTGGAGGCAGACCATCACCTGCAGGTCGGGTTGAGGTGGACACAGTCGGCTTAACATTCCCATTCGCAGCTATAGCTTCCAAGAGTGCTTGTGGAGGTGCAATGCCAGAGAAGACCTTGACGGCCATGCGCAATGGAAGTACGATAAGCTGAGGCTACTAGCAGTGAGCAGTCATTTCGAAGAATTAAGGGCCGAGGCAGACAACATACTTTCATGTTTCCCACTGATCCATGTGTGAGACCTATACGAACTTCAAGTTCGTAGGTTCTGGAGACATTGCATGTTTCAAATGATGGAGCTACAGTGCTGGGGAGCGGTATGCGGTTCCACATGTTAGCATCCAAGGTCCATTCGGTCTCAGCAGGATCTCCCCCTCTCCCTAGAGGTATGGCCATATTGCTGCAGCTCAACATGACCCAGGTGCCACTCTCTGTCCGCTTGAGGTCATGGGCGAGGATGTGTGTATATGAAATTAGTTCAACTTGTAACATCTGCAAGAAGATGGTTTCGTATGACTCGGACAATTTCTTGACAATGATTCGCATCGGTATAGGTTCATTACAGGTGAGTATCGAAGGGTTGGGTAATCTCAAATCTGCGGACACACGAGGGCCGTTACTGGCGCTTTCCCGGAGGGAACTGCTTGACATTTTCTGGAAAAGACCTTTTTTCTTGGAGACGGGAGGGAGATCCGAAAATTGATGTTGGCGTCTGGCGTAAGTCTCTTCGCTTGGATTCCCTGTTCGCGGGGGCTCGATTGGTAGGAAATTCAGGTTGGTGATCTTACAGCGGCCGTTAGTCTCATGCATTTGAGATAAGAAGAGGCCACAGCGGACAAGAGGGAGAACATACCCCTCTGATATTCTCTTTGTAGAATTGTGGACGGATGACCGTGGCTTTCACGTAGTACTTGATATCGGCCATTCCGGGAAACCCACTGAGAGATGGTGGAAGCGTCTTCTTCACATGGCGATGAGTATCCTTCGCCACCTCCACCTTGAGGCCGGTGATGTTGAGGTTGGTGAGCATGCTATTTTGGAAATTGCAAGCATTGTTGAACGGGAACTAGGATCTGAAATCAGTCTACGTCGAAAATGGTGAAGGAAACAATTACGCGATTACCTTGAACTTGAACGGGTACTCGTAGCTCCCTTTGGCGAACGTATAGACCCTTTCGGGGGTCTTCGAGTTGAAAACTTCGGGGGTGGGGAAGACGGTAGCAACCTTATACAGGAGCTGCAAGGGTTTTTAGTAACAGCTTGAATAGGGAGGGGCATTCCGCCGAGTCCTTGCCAGTGAGTGATTTACAAGGTGTAAGTGTTGGGAGACTGTGGACTAACGCACCTTGTGAACCTCGATCTCTGTCCGCTTTTTGTCCGACTGCTCATGATGCGGATATCGCGGGCCTGCAAGACGTGTACGACTCTCGCCCTCAAGCTTCACTTGTATCCCTCCTATAGCAGCTTCGGAGGGTAGAGTGAGCACCACTTTCCCAACGAGAACGTCGAGGTTAGTGAAGTGCTTGTGAGGCCGGTCCAGGTGGATTGTTACGGACATGGCGAACCGTGCGTAAGCCGTAAATGTACGGATGAGGAGGATGACCGGCACCTGAGACGCAACAATCACTCTTCAAGACCTGATTTATGATTGACGCAAAGTATATAGAAGGAGGAGCAAATGCCAGTTCAACTGGCTGCATATACGTCTGGGTAATCAAAATATCGCAGGCGAAGAGATAATAATGGACAAAGGGAGGAGGGGAATGGGGAAGAAAAAGAAGCACGGGAGTTCGGCAGAACTTACAGTAACTTACAGGGAGGGAATGACGTTAAGGCCAGGGGAAGCAGAACTGCTCCCGTGGGGTCGACGAGGAATTGTTCTCACAGGGCTGGCTGGCTGCCCGAGTCTGGATGCGCCGAGCCGAGTGCGGTCGACTCAGCCACTCCGCCCAGTCCGACTGGCTGCACCGCCACCTTTGTTGGTCTTCTCTCTGCCAATCGAACACGAGTCTACGATCTGTCATGGACGGCACTGCACGTCATAATAAGTAGGGAGTTATTGAATTCCACCCTTACATGTGTAGAATCTAAAGTAGTGGCTTCAATGGGTATCGCCGGGAATAAGCTGCTGTCAAACCACCGAATGAAAAGAACTAGCCCAAGGCACTCTAGGCACCAAGATTCCAGATAAGAGGTTAGGTACTGCACCGCGCCATTAGAGACCTTCCTTCGCAAGCATGTCTAGAATATCAATCTCATTAGCCAGACTCTCCGGAATGGTTGGACAAGTTGGGTGTGGCGTGACGCCAGGGTCCTTGCTCGTACCTGCAATATCCAGATAAAACGCAATTGCGTTGAACCTACGCAGAGTATCAGCCGACGTCCAGCAGCAGAAGAACAAGCAAAGCAAAAGAAAAAGACCATCTTCGCATCGCGAACTCATCCAACATACCTTGACCTGTTGCCCGTGATTTCGCCGGCCAACCATTTTAAACGGTTGGTCCAGTTGATCAGGTCCAGGTGGCTCACCCCTTCTAGGGTGCCCTTGTAGCCCCCTTCTCCTCCCCACTTGCTGCTCGCAACGCTGACAAGCCCGTCATTGTACCCCTCGACCTGCTGCAAGAGGCGATGCGACAGGCGGAAGACAGACCAGAAGCTTGGCTGCATCGATGCTCCATAGGACAGATAGCTGCAAGAACTCAGTCTCCCGGCACCACTCACAGGACAGACCACCTACCGAACGCCCTCCACATCTGGAGTAGTAGGATTGAAGGTGTTTTGCATGTAATCGCGGGACAGTTGAGCGAATGCCCCTGATTCTATTCCTAGTCTTTCAAGCGCATAGTACAATTGAGCCAAGCGGTCATCTGTGAGTCATGAGTTTCAGCTTCGTCTTCTTTAGGGGCAGTCATTTTGACATACCGCCAATCTGCTTGAGCACATAATCTGCAACTGCCGAACCTGTCAAGCTGGTTTAGTAAGATGATTACTTTGCTATGCCATACATACCTCGGTGGGGCGTGGCTATAGTAGTCAAAGACTTGACTTTAAACTCCGTTGGTCTAAGATGTGTGATCATATATCGTGAATCAAGGCCTCTTCGTCGTCAGTCAGGATGTGACCGTAACGGACATTAGATGCATTCAAATCGCCTACCCCTTTACAGAAGTGTAAACGGAGAGCTCCGATGACGGTGAATGAGGCAATCAGGCTTACCATGCTATGACTGTTCAATATTAGACATTTGATACCAAAGAAACAGAGTCAATCTTGGAAGGTAGAGAACCCACGCGATGATGTTCACTTCCTTGCCACGTGCTCCGGCAACGATGTCTTTTGCCAATTCTTCGGCGCGCATTTCAATGGACGCTGATGGAGGTACTGTTGCAGTGATGACCTGGACTCCCTTCATCGAGAGTGCATCCTCAATCCCACGCCAGTATTGAACACCGGGGAGATAAGGACCGGCAAGGCGAAGCGTGTCAAATCCAAGAAGTCCATGCGCAAGCACGACAGGGTGCTTCGGGGCATCTGGTGAATATCAGGTCAAATTAAGCACGCTGACAAGCCTATCAGGATATGCCATGCAACCCACCATATTGATCTCTGATAGCAGCATACTCATCTCTGATTACCTTGCCCAGGTCTTCCAAGCGTGGTTCAAGAACATCGGACGCTGTATGCGCGGAGGAACGGAACCCGCGTGAGCTGGAACAGCACCTCGAATTGTCATAATGGAAGACAGTCCTCTTGTGGCGAAAGAATAGACTTCTTACTGTACGCAATTGAGCGACAGCAGATCTCATTTTGTTTATGCCCTGCGTGCTCTTCATGCGAATGAAGCTAGGAGGTAAAGCGACAGTATACAAACCAGCATCACGGGCGGCCTCGCGCCGAGGAGGAACTTATGACGCAACAGATGCCTATTCGGGGTTTTCCATGCCTGAGGCAGCATTAACAGTCCTGATCATACTATGTACCTTGGTATGAGTGTTGAATGATTAACATGTATTGGAAAATCCCTTGGAGCTGTTTCAATACTCCTTGTAATAACTTCTTGATATTAAAAATGGGATAAATTCTGTCTAATACCTCCTGCGCCCTCCGCAGATGTCGGGTGGAAAGCAAAGGAGTCTCATAAAGGTAAGGGGTATCACGCATGCACCAAGCGGGCATCCCCACACTGAGGAAGGACATTGACACCCCTTCACTAGCTGCAGAGAAACTAGAACGGGCGCACTCCGTACATATGGGTGGTTGTATGATCAAACAGCTAAATAATATTCACAGGCTGGAAGCAAAGAACCCAAAATTGATGAACTCTCACGGTGCTGCAGGAAACAACAGATCTATGCCTTGACCACAATTTTCTCCGAAGCCTCGGGCTTCACGTCGATGAGTGCATGGATGAGATCCTCCACGACCTTGCTACCCTTCTCGCTTCCGGCATCCTTGATCTCCTGGAGCTTGACTTCTGCCTCTTTGTTCGCATCCTCCTCAGCCTTCTTGTACCCGCTCGAGTGCTAGAACAGACACGAAAGCGTTAGCTCGTTTGTTGAACAGTGATTGCGAGCTATCCCTGATCGAGAAGCCACCGTAATGCTGTAAATACCTCAGCCTCGAACTTCTTGAACTCGTCCTCCTTCTGCTTGCGGTACTCTTCGATCTCCTTCTGAGCCTCAGCCTTTGCGTCCCTTATCCGCTTGGTACGGTCTGAACAGAACGTGTCAATGAGGGATCCGTTAACATTGGTGAGGGGCCGGGACAGTACATTCTCTAGCTGTAAGAAGCGACACGTCAGCATACAGTGATGATATACGGTAGTAGTTTAGATGGGCTCTACCTTGCTGGACAATCTTCTGGGCCTCTCTCTCGGCCTAAGATTTGATGTCAATTGTATGCCTTCGTAGGAGCAGCGTCAGAATAACCTACATCGAGGAGGGTCTGAATGCCTGCGGAGTTCTGAGCGGACTATTGGGGACAGCGTTAGCGCCTCTTCCTTCAGGGACGGACTCGACTCCTAGCACACACCATCTTTCAAGTAAGCCCTCTGGGACGTCAGAGTATGTTCGAAGGGATATAACTTGAGTTGAAGGCGATATCTTGATAAGGTGGAGTTGTGGAGCTTGTGATAGTACGCTGTCCGATCTCCCCGACGCCACGCATGACCCCCGTGGGCGGTCGGAGGTTCTGCCACGAAACACCGCCATCGTCGATTATCGCCGACACGAGACTGGGATCATGATTGACTTAGCCTCTTGGACAAGAGAGTCGCTACTTTTTCTTTTGCGACGTCTCTAATCATTCAATACATCAACAGCTGACATGTCTCGGGCTTCCAAATTGACATTGGCCGCCACTGGCCTAGGCACAGCCGGCATTGTCTATTTTGTGCACTGGGCACAGGAGCAAGAGAAGGCGGTCCGTTAATGCTTTGACACTTATTTGCCCAAATGGATACTGACTTCTCAATGACTCGGCCTCTAGTCAATGCACAAAGCGGTTGAACTTGACATGGAAAAGCAGCGCGTCCGGCAGGAACGACAAGCTGACTTCGAGATGCAAAAGGCTCTCGAAGAGGAATATCGGAAACTGCAAAAAGTCTCACCAAGCTTAGACGAATATAGTGGAACGCAAAGAAGTCAGGGACAAGGACAAGGATCCTGAGGCAACTCTTCGTCTACTGGTCTGACGGCGTGTGCTGTGAAGGCTCAGGTGTTGGTATGTCTTTGTGCCAGTTACAGAAGAAATCATCTCTAATCAACACCTCAGTCATGACTTCCAACCTCAACAGAAGGGCAGTTTTTCGGTTATAAAATATACCCATGTACAATAGACAAAGAACATACACTCCAATCTTTACGAAGACATACGCCGATGAGTAGATTTATGGGCACTCTAAATGACAATCTCACGCTACTATGTGACTAGCATGTTACTAGATGATTTACATAGCACCGATGTCAATGGAGGACGTGAATGAGTGATGAATTCGACTACGTAATGCTATCTGAGCAGAAGTATCAACATGGGCGCGGCGGACGGTGAGCAGAATGGTCAACGAGGCCGTTGAGCCGTAGTCGAATGTGATGTGACCTTATGCGACAGACGGAAGCACGGATGACTTTGTGGTAATGTTCGTGGAATGACAGTACGTTATGTAGATGTATGATATGTCCAAGCACCAACTATAGTCCTTATCAGTCCTTGAAATTGAACCCATTTTTGCTCGGGTTGGCAGTTCTTCCGAGTTGCCCGATAAGTCGACAGATAGGCGGCTGATATAAAGGAGGCCGGCTATCAGCGGAGGCCGGCTCAATTCCGGCCTCATGCAACTACGAAAAGCTAATCTGTCAAAATCCGGCTGACGTGACCAATAGCGGCGAGGATTACATGACTTGAGCCTTGGCAATTGGTGAAGTATAGTCAAGGTCATGATGTAGGTGACTGTGAGTTTGGGACACCACGTCCATCAAACCGGCAAATCTGAGCGAGACTTGTGTAAAACATAGTCAGATATATGCTAGAAGTAGCCAGTAGCAATGCATCAGTTCTCGCGCACCAGCCACAGCTGAGTATAGGCAGCCAAACACATTGGTATACAATACTGGAAAGGGAATAGCGTGTCCTCGTGATCCCAGCGTGCCCTGATCTGCCAAGAGTTAGTATAAAGTCGTCGAGCAGGCGTTAGCAGCGATGGATTGATCTGAGGGAGGGTTCATGGGCATGGGAACTCGTGAAAATAGCCATATAATGCTTCAGAGATGTCCAGAGCCAGTACTACCTTGTTATCATGATTGAGACTGAGGTCTCCACGCAGTTTCCCTACCTGTTTCGTAATGGCGCTGTCGAGGCCGGAATTGATACCGGCCTCAAAGCATTATAAGAATCGCCTGCAATCCCGCCCAATTTCCAGGCACAAGAATTCTGAGTTCATTATCTAGAGAGCAAGCTTTTTAACTTAACTTCCTGATTTTCCTTCTTTCCCATTCACCTGATCCCCTGATTCAATTCACCTGGCCTCCTGTTCTCCTTCTTTCTTTTCTCCTTCTTCTAGTTCCTCTTATTCCTCTTACTCAAGGCCTTAGACTCTCTCGTATCCTCTCACATCTCAGCGTCTCATCATACCTCTATTCATTCCCTTATCTAGAGATAATTGCACCATGTCTCCTTCTAGAGTTCCCCTCCCGAACAGTACCTTGGATCGCTTCCCTCATATCCATGATGATCCTTCCACCCTTCCTCGGTCCTTGGACCCCTTCACTATCACTACCTCTACCGGGTTCTTGCCCTTTCTTGTCTCCCCCACTAAGCTGCCTTCTGTCTTCCAACCTTTGATGTCACTGCTCGAGCGTCTCCCTGCCGTTAAGGAGGATGGTACTCCAGGTCTCCTTGCGACATATGAGCTAGGGCCGGCTGTTCTGGCCGAGCTTCCTGACCTGACCGAGGAGATTGACAAGCTGGTCACACCTGATGGTGCACCGGATCTCTATATGATCACCGCTGCATTCCGTGATTACTCTTTCCTCGCCTCGTCGTATCTTCTCGAGCCATGCTGGGAGAACTGGTGTAAGAACCCCGACCAGGGCTATGGACTCGGACGGGATGTTTTGCCCAAGTCTGTGGCTCGTCCAATGTATCATTGTGCCAAGATGTGAGTCTACGCTTAATCTATTGAGCTTTGGCCGTTTTAACTAAAATGATGTCAGCCTCGACATTCCTCCTTTCATGTCCTACGCAGCTGCATACTCACTCTTCAACTACACCCTCGCAGACCCCTCCAAAGGCCTGGAATATTCCAACTTGCGTCTTGTCCGCGCGTTTGAGAAGGGTCTGGACCCCAAGAGCTCCGAAGCCGGCTTTATCTTGACCCACGTGGACATGGTGAAAGAATCCAATGGTCTTATTAGTGGAGCACTTAAGGTGGTCGACAATGTCGAGCAGGGTGATCGCTCGGTGGTCAACGATGGATTTAGAGAGATTCTCGCGTCCATGGAGAAGATCGAAGCCTCGATGGAAGGTAAGCGCTTCCCGTTCCCTCCTGTTGCTCAAAGATTCCTCCTTACTAACAACCCGCATCTAGACATGTGGGCCAACTCCAAGCCCCAGGACTACCTCTCATTCCGTGTCTTCATCTTCGGAATCACCTCTCAATCCATGTTCCCGAACGGTGTCATCTACGATGGAGTTCTTGACAACCAGCCCCTCTTCTTCCGCGGCGAGAGCGGTGCGAACGACAGCATGGTAAGTTTTCGTCTCAAGTCTACCCCTTCTAGATGCAAACCTAACCATCCACAACAAACAGATCCCTCTCCTCGACCACCTCTGCCAGATCCCCATGCCCTCCACTCCGCTCACCAAGATCCTGCACGAGTTCCGTGCCTACCGCCCTCTACCCCACCGTGAATTCCTCGCCTACATGAATTCCAAATCCGAAGAAGTCGGCACTCGCAACTTTGCCGTCCAGGACACCGAGACCACCATCCTCTTCCTCAAAACTCTGAACCACGTTCGGAGCTTCCGCTGGAGACACTGGCTGTTTGCCCGAGAGTATATCATCCGTCGAACTCCACACCCTACTGCTACCGGTGGTAGTCCCATCGTCACGGTAAGTTGCTCTCCACAACCCCGAGGGTAAACTTTCACCTCGTGAGATAGATACTAAACATGCTTCTGGGCCGATACGCAGTGGCTTCCCAACCAGTTATCCGGTGTGATGGACCTGATGATCTCGATCTATGATACCTACCTTGCGCCGCAGAAGGATGGGCCCGGGGCTGTCGGGCCGGATGGTCAGACCGGGTATGCTGCCGAGGCATATATGAAGCAGGTCGAGCCGATGATGGAGATGGTGAGGGACCAGAGGGAGAAGTTGGCCAAGGAGGTGGAGAAATGGTGTAAGGAGAGAGGGGTTTGAAGAGAAGGTGGTAGGATCAGTGGTTATACCCTGAATTGATATTTCTTGGCCACTTCCAAAGTAAATATTCTCCACGTTGGCTCTGAGCTTAGTACTGGAATTCTTGGCTCAGGATTAGTACGAGAGACAGACAGCGAGATTCTTCATCTCAGATTGAATCGGAAAGATTAATTTGAACGGCAGCGATCACGTAAGCCTAGACTTCAGAAGACAATTGACCTCTTGCGGTATATTCCAGGCTTAATGAGTAGCAGGTCTCTTCTCTAGATACTGTGAGTATGGCAATATCAATATCGATGGTAGAGTTGTCGCGAAGGAGTGTGGGGTGGAAGAACCTCGGCACTCTCGGCCCCTCCGCTCTTTTGCCCCATCGGGAATCCGCTTCATCTCCGCATTTCGTCCCTCAGCGGCGTGATCCTACTTTCCTCCCAAGAGAAAATCCAAAAAGAGGAAGACTGCGTTGCTTTTCCTCGTGTTTGAATTCTTCTTTCATTTCCTGCGCAGAACCCACCTCCCAGGAAGATTCCTCCAAGTACACCCCGCGTCTCTGACCAACCTCTCTCGAAATGCCCCCGCAACCCGACCAATTCCACGGCTGGGTCTCGCATTCGCCCACCGAGCCCCTCGCCTTCACGACCTTCACAGCCAAACCATTCGACCCCACCGACCTCGAGATCCAGGTCACCCACTGCGGGATCTGCGGCACCGATGTGCACACGCTCCGCTCCGGCTGGGGACCGTCCGACTACCCGTGCGTCGTCGGGCACGAGATCGTCGGCCTCATCACGCGCCTGGGCGCCTCGGTGCCGTCCCTGCCGGCCCCATACTCGGCCTTCCAGCTCGGCGACCGCGTGGGCGTGGGCGCCCAGATCCTGGCCTGCCTAGGCGCCGACTGCGACGCCTGCAGCACGGGCCAAGAGAACTACTGCCCGCGGATCACCGGCACGTACAACGACCGCTTCTGGGACGCGGGCTTCCAGCAGAAGACCGCCGTCAAGACCATGGGCGGGTTCGCGCGCACCTGGCGCGGGCCGGCCCAGTTCGTGTTCAAGATCCCCGACGGGCTGTCCTCGGCGCATGCGGCGCCGTTGCTCTGCGCCGGGGCGACCGTCTTCACGCCGCTGCGGAAGTACGGCGCGGGAGCCGGGAAGCGCGTCGGCGTCGTGGGCATCGGCGGCCTGGGCCACCTGGGGCTGCTGTTTGCGAAGGCCATGGGCTGCGACCGGGTGGTCGCGATCTCGCGGTCCGCGGCCAAGAGGAAGGATGCGGTTGAGGGGCTCGGGGCCGATGGGTTCATCGCCACGGGCGAGGAGGAGGGCTGGGCTAAGAAGTACGAGCGGACGCTGGACCTCATTATCTGTACGGTGGACGGGGACGATATGCCGCTGGCGCGATATCTGAGGCTGCTGCGCGTCGGCGGCACGTTCGTCCAGGTGGGCGCCCCCGAGAAACCACTGCCTCAGTTGCCGGCCTGGTCATTCATTCAGAAGGGCATCAAGCTGGCGGGGTCGAATATCGGGTCGCGCGAGGATATCCGGGCGATGCTGGAGTTGGCGGCGCAGAAGAACGTGTTGCCCTGGATCGAGAAACGGCCGATGGAAGAGGTGAATGTCGCGTTGAGAGACATGGATGCGGGCAGAGCGAGGTACAGGTATGTGTTGGAGAATGGAGAGCCGGACAGTAAATTGTAGAAGGTAGAGATAGACAGGCCAGTAGATACTAGGTAGACCAGGGCTGCCGCCCAATGTGGATATGAATACGAGCTAAACGAAGTTACCGAAATAGAAGCAGCAAAGAACTGATTTGGGCGAAGAGCGCTTCGTCTCTCTGAGCACTCAATACTGACCAAAAAGTCACATTGGTTCCTATTCAGAGATTTAGGAATCTAGTAGCACTTCCGTAGCTGTCAAAACCCATGGGGGTTTTACCGATCCTTCTGAGGTTCCATTTGTGGATTGAAGAAGTAAGAAGTACTACTAGTACTATGTACGCACACCAACTAGATTGGATGATGCCCCACGAGGTAGAAGAGAGGTTTAAATATTCAAGGCCCTGGCCAATCGCTCGTGTCAATTGCTAAGTTCCTCGCTAATCAATCGCTCGGTGGGCATTATCCCCCAAGGTCCCTATCATGGGTTGATCGAGCAACGGTCGCCATTGGTCGTCCAAAACCTGCCAAATGGCCTTGAGGACCCGGATACCCCAATCATCCACAAACCAGATATCCCGAAGCCGATGAAGGATTGCGCAGTAATACGCCACAATGACAAGCGCCAGTGGCTGATGTTCCTGTAGCAGTTGTACGAATTCGGCCTTGAGCCTAATCGCCCATCTGCAGGCCTGTCTTACAGAGGTCACACCTTGATGAGCTGCCGCCATCAAGTCTGCCAGGTTCTCAATTGTATGCTCGTAGGTGATGGAGTCATGAGCCGGATCCTGGCTTTTGCAGAAATGGTTCACCTCGTGCAGTCGGTCCAAAGCGGACCGCTCATCATCAGGAAGCACATCATCGTAGTCATCCAATTGGAAGAGGGCCCCCCAATCACTACCTCGTATCGTCGACGTCGCCTCGTTCAGAATCTGCTGTACGCCGCGCGTCAATGTAAATACCTGCAGGATGCCATTGATACACGCCCACGGATCGTCCGTTCCGGGGGCATGGGAGGGATGCAGAAAGCCAAAAGTGTAGACCACGACAACGCTGGCAAATGCGAACATGGCTTTGGCATTCGATGCGTTGATGTCGCTCAACTGCTCGCGAAAGAAGGCCAGAGCCTGGTTCTCATGCGCGACGGCAATGCTCACGTAGGCCGCGCGTTTGACTTCATCTCTCGTCCGCGCGAGATGGATCGCCGACAATGCCAACAAGCCGTGCATGAGAAAGGGGTGGGATAAAGCCTCCTCAGGAACACGAGCCTGCCAGATCGCATCGGTTTTCGCGTGCCGGGAAAGTGCCTTGTAGGTTGAATTGCACCAGTGCATCATCAACTCTAGGTCGCTTAGGTTGAGACGAGCGACTGATTGAGGCTCGTCGTCGCCGTTTAATTTCCCCAGAATGCGGAGCGAATTGGCGGTCGTGGAAAAGGTGGATTCGGACTCCCGCGGCCCTTCAGAGCCTGACTTGTTCGGCGGAGGACGAGGCTGTGACTCGTCGTTGGTCCAGAGTAGTGAAGTCGCAGAGTCATACCTGCACGACGCCATGCGTTTCGAGCAATTTGAGCAGACCGGCCGCAGCTCGTCGCATTTCACTCGTCGTTGCTTACATTCGAGGCAGCCGTGCCGGGACTTGCGATGAGGGCGTCGGAGTGCCATTTCCGTTGGCCACGCCTGACTCCTGGGGAGATTAGGAATAAGTCATATGGCGAGAGTGACTGAGTGAGTGCAGGCTTGACTAAGGATTGCATCTGTCTCTCATCTGAAGAGTCCCAGTTTCACGCCGTCGGGAAAGTATTTCTTGTCAAGCCCCGCTGGAGAAGCCATTCTGTACCACATTATGTCATCAACCGCAAGTTTACCAGTTAACAGTCCAATCAATTTCCCAACGAGCTACAGTTTCTCTACTACAAGTTCATGCATACCAAAATGAGATGGTGGCGATTTCCCTAATGTGAAGAAGCTTGAAAATGATCCCAGAATCTCAGACCAGTGTTTTTAAAGAGATAACCTAAGATGACCCCTTTCACCCTCCAACGGGGGCCGACCACCTCCACCTCCACTCAACTCATGCTCCAGTGGTAGTGCTGTTCTGTCGACGTCGTCTCGCTTTCTCATACAAGGAAAGGACTGTCGCAAGGACCATGAGATCGAACTGTTGGCCATAATCCACATAGAGCTGGAGCATGCCACTTTCTTTGTATGAAGCCACATTGCTCATGAACATCGCCAGAATGTTGCCGCTCTGTTCGTCAACTAGCTTGTAATTGCGATTGCTGAGCCTAGTCCAAGTGTGACCCTCGAGGCCGACATGGTGTGTCCGTTTCCACAGGAAAGATTGCCTCCGTGGCCCACTGGCCGTATGGACTTCCATCTCCCAGCGATATTTGCTGTGGCTTTTGCTTCGGCCGGTAAGATCCTCCCACACCATCTCACTCGGAGCTTGAGGATCTCCTAAGCCAATGTGAATACCTCGTGAGAAATGTTGGAACTTGGCGACTGCCACGACCGGACCGGAGTCATCCATCCCAGCATGGAAAGTGAGGTCCGGCTTCTTTGGTCGAAACTCGGACACGCGAACCCTGTAGAGCTGTTGATCGTCTCCAAGTTTTACGTTGTAATGATGCCGCCATGCTGTGTTGGAGATCTTGTAGCGACGGATGATAGTATCATCATTTGGTAGCTTAGCATCCACCAAGCCAGGGTCAAACTCGGTGGACGCATCGGAGTGGAATGAAGGTGCATAAGAAGCCATAGTGCGGTGATACTGGGAAACTCATAGTGCGAAGGATTGCATTTCAAGAGGGCAACCGGAGCCCAGGATCTTTATACTTGGTGCGCGTCAGATGCTTTGGGCGTAAGTTTCCACCACGCGCCAATAATGGAAAGCATCTCAGGGTCTCCCAAAGTTGGTCTGACAAGGTGTGGATGCTCAGGGTCCGGGCTGTGCATTTCAAATATGCTATTGAGACCGTTGATTGGGACACGGCTGGATTTCACAGCCTTGAAGATAGAAGATCGTCATGGCCGAATACGAGTCGTCCAACTTGGGAATAGTCGATCAAAAAGACTCGACACCTGAGGCATGAATATCACATGACACTCACCTTTTGGCCTCACCGCCCTTGCCGGCGCGTCTCGCTCGATCATCTCCAGCAACGAGCACGAAACATGCAAATCGGCCATGTTCAGCATTTCCTTTGGCGCCATTTTGCTGGTTGCGCCTTGACAATTGTTCCACTCTTTGTTGCGCCCCCTCCCGGCCATTCTTGCTCGTCATTCATCATCTTCGCCGGGCTATAACCCCCCATCGGGGCTATTGAATCATAGCCTCGATTCTAACAACTATTTTTCCTGTGAATTCCGCTATCCCTCCCGCCCAGTAACCGTTTCCTCCAGAATCTGTCCTCGCAACCCATCAACACACAATGTCTTGGAATTTCCACCTCCAGTCTAGCCCGCCTTCTACGCCTGGTAAATCCCGCGATCCTTTCAATGATTTATCCAGCACTCCGGCTGGGGCCCCACCGTCCGCATCCAACTCCTTTGCTCCGCATGGCGGGCCTTCCGATTTTGGGAGCTCTCGCATGAGCTCCGGCTCCCTCTTCACAAAGTCGGGCCACATGAACCTCAATGACAATGATAGCATCTTTGGGTCATCCATCATGTCAAATGATTTTCTGCCACCCCTACCTAAGAAAACAACGACAACCGCAACGAAATCGTCTGCAGCGTCGCAGTCCCTGTTCAGCATCACAAATGGCTCTCGCTTTGACGAATCCACACGCTTTGGGCAATCCAATGGCTTCACGGAGTCCCAGATGGATGCAGAGGGAGATGATATTCTGACTGAGACAGAGGACGAGGTAGTGGACAAGACGGGAAGCAGCTTGGGTGTGGGTAAGGCGGACAAGAACGCTGTGGGCCGCTTCAGCTTCTTGGATTCTCAGCTCGGAGACTCTATCGCTCCGCAGCCTGTCTCACTTGGTCATCGCAAGTCTATCTACTCAAACCCAGGCAGCGCTAAGCGCCCAAAGCTCGATGAGCGCTGGGCAGGTCAAGCGCCTCTGCGCAAGGGAAAGTTATCACCGAAGAAAGACTCTGCAATGCCGTCTATAGTTCGCAATCTAGCTCGCTCGCGGCTGACAACAGTGGATGAGTCGAGTGACTTTGTCATGAGCACGGAGGACGAGCTTTGCCGCATGTATGACGAAGTCAGGAAAGCCGACTATAATGGCACGGACCTCCGCGCGGCCCTCTCGGATGTTTGCAGTCGACTAGCAAATGTGTGGAAGACAGCTACAGGACAGAATGGTCCTTACCAAGAGTCAGACGGCATCGGACCGGGTGACCAAGCCTCAAATATCGCCAAGGCAAGTTTTCTGGCTTCACTCCATCTACAGCTGCATCACCCCCCTCGGCCATTTGATCGACCCGGCCAAGTAAACCCCTTCGCAACGCGCAATCTATTGCTGGGTGGTCCACGCACAACATCACCGACACCCATCCCCAGACTTCTCATTGACTGGCTCGATGCCAACCACATCCCTCCTGCGTCGGAGCTGCAAGTCTTGAAAGCGTTCGAACCCAACCCTACTGCGTCATCAAGCTTCTGGGACTTGCTCAATGCGGCCGTTCTCCGGGGTAGCCTCTCGACAGCCGTCGAACTTTTGCGATCTGCCGATTTTAACTATGCAAGATCAGCGTTAGAAGATGGCCTACCACAGGCGGGATACCGCGGAACACAGCTGCAGAATATTCAGCGATGCGTCAACAAGGCTCTTCAAATCCTTGAGTCATGTCCTGGTGTCTCTCGCGACGACTGGGATGTCAAGGGTGCCGAATGGGCTTTGTTCAGAAGACGGGTTTTGGCGGCAGTAACAGACCTGGAGGAGTTCGCTGAAGGCGAAGACAAGGCGTCGCCAGAACCCCCTGTTCAAGAAAACCGCTTCCAAGCTGTCAACTTTGGGCTGAAGGCGACTGCCCCCGCGCAGACGATTTCCTTCACCCAATCCGCCCGCATGGCTGAAAGCAAAGTGCCCTGGGCAATTTATCAGAACCTTCGATCCATGTATCGTATTCTGCTCGGTGACGAAGATGCCATCATGGAGAACTCACAAGACTGGCTCGAAGCCACCATCTGCATGACCGTGTGGTGGGGTGGTGACGATGATGACGAGGTCCCTAGTGACCTTCCGCCCACCAGCCTCAACCCCCTATTCTCTCGCCCAGCAAGGAATACGTCTCCTACCAGTGTGCAAGATGCCTATTTGCGGCGACTTGATCTAGCTTTTGGTCACGCCACAAGCGCGGAGGGTGATGATGCTAGTTTCCGTGTCAATTCACTCAGCAGTCTCGAAGTTGGGTTGGCTTCTGTCTTTGAAGGTAATGTCGAAGGCGTGATTGAGCTGCTTCAGACATGGTCACTGTGTGTGTCATGTGCCGTAGTCGAGGTCGCGTCCATTGGGGGCTGGCTGAATCCCAGAGCCTCCAAATCGAAATCTATGCCTGGCTTGAGCGAAGACGATCTGATGGTTTTGTCGTATGGTCAAGGCCAAGGCACTGAAGCAACCGGCCCTCGTGTGAACAAGAACGATGTAATCAGTGCCTATGCATCTGGCCTTTTTGAACGACAATCGATTGAATGCCAAGATGGTACTCGCAACGGATGGGAGGTAGCTCTCGAGGTCCTAAGTCGCCTGGACGACAGGGGGAAGTTGCAAAAGAGTGTTTCGGAACTGCTGGATAGATTGCCGCTCAATACGGCTGAGGAAGTTGACAAGGTGGTTATGCTTTGTTCTGAGCTTGATCTTGACAATGAAGGGCGGAAGGTTTCGGAGGTTAGTTCTTCTTTCTTGTCCGTTTCATCAACTGGCTGCTAATTTGACCAGCGTTTCGGTGATTCTACCGTTGCTGATTCAGAGGACTATGGTCTTGCTCTCCTGTGCTATGCGCGCGCACATAACCGCCGTAAGGTCAAGTCCGTGGTTGACCTGCTCATTTCGTACAGTCTTGTGCAGTCTCGCGCTTATCCCGCGTCGAATGACCTCGACGAGCAGCTTGAGTCTTTGATCCGAGACCCTGGTCGTTGTCTGGCCGCCATCGCAGGATCCGACGAAGATGCAGCCAGTATCCTGCAATACTACTTCTCTGGATATGCCACGTTACGCCGGTACTACGAAATCCGGGACGAGGCCGAGAACCTCAAAGAAGGTCAACAACCTCGATACAAGCCTCTTGCTAGACGACGTGCGGCAGCCCAGGCCCTTGTGGCAGTCATCGGCAGCGCCGCAGACAGTATCTATGGTGGCCTGTACGACCCAGACCGTGACTCCGCCGTTCAAGTCGATGGCCTCTTGACTCTATTGGGCGAAGTCCTCCCGTTTGTTGACCGTAAGTTCTTTCCATCCTCTAACCGTGTTCCTATAGACTTCGTTAAGACTCTGACCGGCTTCAGAACCAACCCCCATCCTCTCCGTCTCCCAGCAATTTACCATTCTCTCCGCGATCGAGGACCTCCAGACTGTCACCCCTCGCGTTTACGCCCAGTGCGAAGAATGTTTCCGCTCCACCTTGATTGAATATCAATCCTCTAAGAACGCAAATACATCCTCCTCAACCGACTCATACATCCTACCTCCATCACCGCGCGCCATGCTCAAAAAGTCTGTCTCCGCTCCCAATGCTTCGAGCACCTTCTCTATCATCGGTAGCGAGATGGTCGGATCAGCACGCACGCTCTCCGGCTCCGGCTCAGCCGGTAGTTCGGGTGTGCTTGTGCCCCGGTTGAATGCAGAGAACGGTCCTGCCTCTCACGAACGAGGCTGGGATTGGCGTGCTGGCCTATCGGAGGACGTCACGGGTGAGGATATCATGCGGATTCTGCGGCTGGGATTGGCCCGAGGTGTGAGTTTCAGTGGCCTCGGGTCGATTTAATTGTTTGATCAGTCGGAACCCCAGGGAATGGAGAGGCATTGATCAGGTGGGCAGCTCGGAAGGAAATGTATTTGTATATGTTATTTATGCCTGACCTGGCTCTATCTTATTTAACAATGGGGCCAGTTCCTTTGCCGCCTGCCTTATTTGTCTTCGTGGGGAATGAGAGTAACAAGGGGGAAAGCCATGAGGGGCAATGTTAACGAGAACCAAGACAGTTCCTTAATCTTGGTCTTTGTAAAGTGCATAATCATGGGGCCCGGTGTCAGGAGTTTCAACCAGTATTTATTTACATCCAATCCACTATCAAGTAATTGTTCATGAATACGTCGTCACGCATACGCACCCCACGGTCTCCAGACTTCTCACGGTAAATGAGCTCGTAGACGAGAGCAAACTAGTTGTGACAAATACAATCACCACGCTCCATATGAACCTCGCCAGGACACCATCAATACGTGGTAAGAACGTCAATCGGAAGTTGAATCCCCCCAACTCCCCCGGCAATCCACCAGCAGCCCAGCAGCCCAGCAGCCCACAAACCCTCACCCCTCACTCCACAACAATCCCCACGACCCTCGCCTTCAACGTCCAGACGCCTTTCTTCGGCCGTTGCAGGATCTTCTCCCGGACGAATTCCATGTCCTCGGGGTTCGTATCGCAGAGCTCGAGGTCGAACCGCCTCACGATGGATGCAATGGTCATGTAGAGTTCCGCGTAGGCCAGACTGTTTGTGAACCGGCCAATGAAGTTTTTGGAAAACTTGTTAGCCCTGTGTGCGAAGATCTGATACTGGGCTCTGGCTGCTAGGCTTGACTTCCAAGGAGGAGGACAAGCTTTCTATGAAGGGAGGGCAGGCATATATGAAATCAGAAAGGTGATGGGATCTCACTCACTTCATCCCGATACAGATCCTGCTGCCCCGTGCGAAGGGGACGAGGTACCGGGTGAGACTTTCGCCCCGCTCGGCGGCTTCAAGCCAGCGCTCGGGTCGGAAGGTGTTTGGGTCGGGGAAGATCTGGGGGTTGCGGTGGATGAAGTAGCTGATTGTGCTGATGGGGGTCTTTTTGGGGAGTGATTGCGATGTTAGTTGGGTGGGTTCACTGTGAGTTTGGGTTTGCCGGGTGGTTGCTTTTGGGGATATAAAGAAGGTGCGGAGAACGACGTACACCGGGTGGAATTGTATATTGTTTGTACTGTAAGGACTCGGATGGGGCTACTCGAACTGGTCGCATGGGCGTTGCGCTGAGTCGGAGGGCTTCGTTTATGATGGCTGTCTATGGTGGCATACCCATTAGAAACTTGTACATACCCATGTGACCGAGACGGGGGTGTTTGTGCTCAGGGGGTTACCAGGTAAGGCAATTGCTCCAGTTGAGACCATTTGGGTTCGTGGCATGGTGCAGGCATGACCTGCTTCAGTTCCTCGCGCAGTCTGAGGAACATTCCTCTGTCGCGCAGGAGTTGGTAGACGGCAAAGGTCAACGTTGAAGCGGTGGTTTCTGTCCCGGCGACTAGAAGTATGAAGCTCTCATCACGAAGACGGACCAGGGTGCAGTCCTCCAGGGCAAGAGACGGATCAGCGAGGACCTGATATATTGAGCCTACGGTATTGGTGTGACTGTCTTTGTTGAGCAGGGCGTCCTGTGACTGCTGCGCGATCTGCTCTTGCATCGCATAGATTTGAGCTAGTTTAGGACGAATGAGACGCATCCAACGGCCAGGAAGAGCCTTGATCAGTCGGAGGATGCTTGGGAGAAATCGAAACAAATGGCATGAGTTGGTACTTTCGAACATCAGCTCCCAGATGAAGTCACGCTTGGTGAGATCTGGATCGGATAGGTAGCCCTTGCCTTGACCATACAAGTAATGAGTGATGGTATCCCCTGTCAGACCAACGAAGGCAGTGTGCAGGGCATCCACCGCTCCGTCAGCATAGAATCTCTCCAGATGCCATGATAGTCGGGCAATCTTCTCTTGGAGGACGGTGGAGAGTTCCATTACCGCTTTCTTTGAGAAGAAAGGATTCAGCAAGCTTCGTCTCGCGCGGTGAAGGTCATGATCAATCGTTGCTATGACAGAGCTTGGGGACGCGAAGGAGGAGACAAAGACCGGGTCCTTGTTCCGTTTGCGACTGTTAACCGGCGTAAATCTCATCGTACATTGCGGGATCGATGATGTGGACTTCTCGAGGGTTTATCCGCACCATGGGACCTAGTTCTCTTCAACAAGGGAGCTCATGCCAGCAAGGGCTTCAAACCCGGTATACCATATCTCTTATGCATCTCTTCGACCTTCCAGAAGAACTTTCCACCTCTAATGACATCAAGATAGAACTCATGGAAGCCAGTAATCGCTGCTATTGGAGGTCCGGGAATCTTGCGGAGCGGGTGAAAATAGAGACGATAAATGTTTCTCAGTACGTAGTAAATGATGACTAGAAGAGATAACACGAAGAGGGACATATTAGGTGCCTATATCTTATGTCTGTTAATCAATTGCCGCCGGCTCGCCACATCTGTAAACAAGAGATGCCTGTCTAGTTATAGACACCAGTAACTATGGCGTCCTCGCATGGCCTATTACGATCTTTGTGTTGTCAAGCGCCAGACTCAGGGTTCAAATTGATAGGCTGAGGCAAAGCACCCAGGATCATGGAAATTTGTGCAGAGTCACACCTGGCCAAGGACAGCTAAACTCAGCGTGTAAATCGGAGAAACCCCTGTCGACTAACGGGCCTAGACTGTGTCTTCGCATACGTAGGATGGTCCATTTCGAGCCCAATGACATTGTCGAACATCAGGGTTACATATGACTTCCCCGGGTCACCCAAGCGGATGTGTTAATGTAGAGACATGGCTCTGCGCTGTCAGGTTGAAGGTCCCTCCTCGATGAAACCCTTTTTGAGAGTTGTAGTCTTAGCAGCTGCTAAATCTCGAGGTCAACTTTCGTAACTATTGCCGGGTCTTTGAGTTGTGATCTTTCAGGACCCGAGCTGTTCTGAGCTTCGATACAACACTTCTAGCTAGTTATTATCTCACGAAGACCATTACAGGCCCAGATCATGATGGAAGATTGAAAAGTGCGTTCTTTCCACTTGCGGTTTATTTTGCGAAGATAGTATCGCGCCAAAACTCGAGGTAAATCGGCATCAAGGCCTCCAGAGTCAAAGAATTTAGATTGGATCATCTCGTCTTGAGCCCTATCCAGTGCTCGTGCTTTCCTTTTATGTGCCAATGGCAGTGCGCGTCGAGAATGAACGAACAATGTCCTGCAGACCCGGGGTATGCTTGCCAATGCAAGATGCGTCTGCGGTAAGCAAGACTCAGCCACAGACAAGGATAATCCTTGCACTTTTGATTACTCCCTGAAGCATGTGAAAATGCAATATCTGGGACGGTAAGTCGGGAGAAAGGTATAGCCATGCTAGTCTCATGGCCTACCGATGGGCTCAGTTCCAGGCAGGCGACTGCGAGTGCGACTGAGCCTATGTTGTGCATCCGCCCCAAATCGAGACCGTTGACAGCGCACGCTAGTGATATTCGCACGGTGGGGCCGAGCAGTGCTATCGATTTGCGAGGATTTGTTGATCTAGGCAATTAGTTATCTTTACCGATGACTGCCAGGTCATCGGAGTGAAGACAAAGGACAGGAAGCGAGATCACTCCACTAGTTGCAGGTAGCACCTCGGTGATAATGTCTTCTTTTGGATGCGACAGTTATGGACAGGCTCGATATGCAATGAAAGGCAAAGATATTCGGTAGTTCTGCATCCCGGCGATAGACGCAAAAGGCAGTCTAGGCCGAGATGACGCCTTCTGTAGATGCGGGCCACGCAATGCAGCCATGATTCCCACGCGATTGAGACCTCTTTCCAAGGCTTGAGTCAAGTAGAAGACGGGAGAGTCCAACAAGATTCATTCAGTTGTAGTAGAAAGTCAGGAAGTAATTGGATGACGTCGCCCGCGGATGACGGAAGCCCCTCAGTGTGCAAACAGGCCAAACACTATCTTTTCCTTTGCTCTCCCCGCGCAGCAAAGCAACTCCCTTGGGGGTTTTCCAACCTCGTGCACTCTTGAGTAGCTTGGAATTCTCTCAGGAAGAGAATCGCTACCTCCAATTTGTCTCCCATACTCTTACATTTTGATCGTACAATCCCAGCCATGACTCAAGAAGCATCCCCTCCGCTCCCGGAGGGCATCTTCTCGCTGCTTGATACGGACTTGTACAAGTTGACGATGCAATGCGCCATCCTCAAATACTTCCCTGATACTTGTAAGCAGTCTCGGACTAGAGCTTGCTGGGCGCACAGATTTTTTTGACCGGTCGAACCAACGCGCAGATGTCACCTATGGCTTCACGAACCGCACCGCCGACATGAAGCTGACGCGGGGTGCTTACAAATGGCTTCTGGCGCAGCTGGACAGTAAGTTGGCAAAAGGGAATCGATCACTTTCGGTCTGACTAACGACGGATTATCTCTGTTCAGAGCTCGGAAATATCCAAGTTACAAGCGCCGAGATCGAATTCCTGAAGAAGAAATGCCCCTACTTCAACGATGCCTACCTGCACTTCCTGACCACATTCAAACTCAAGCCCTCGGAGCAGGTCGAAATTCACTTTACCCCCGGGGAGGGCGACACTGGTAGTGACGAAGACAAGGGTGATGTAGACTATGTTGTCAAAGGTCTCTGGGTGGACACCATCCTCTACGAGATCCCGTTGCTGGCCCTGACCAGCCAAGCGTACTTCATGTTCAGCGATAAGGACTGGGACTACAGCTGCCAGGAGGAGAAGGCGTTCCGCAAGGGCTGCACGTTGTTAGAGCACGGGTGCATCTTCTCCGAGTTCGGATCCCGAAGACGGCGCGACTATCACACCCAAGACCTGGTCATGAAGGGACTCTCTCGCGCCGCGGAGGAGGGGAAAAAGCGTGGCTGGAAGGGTGCGTTCACTGGCACGAGCAATGTTCATTTCGCCATGATGTACGACGTGACCCCTGTGGGCACAGTCGCTCACGAATGGTACATGACCATCGCTGCCATTACGGACGACTACGAGAACGCCAACGAGATGGCTCTCCGGTATTGGCTTGGTTGCTTCGGGGAAGGAGTACGTGCCCCACCTTCCCCCCCAGAATTGGCTCTAACTGGAAAGCAGGTTCTGGGCGTCGCCTTGACCGACACCTTCGGCACCCCGGCTTTCCTCGATGCGTTCCGCAAACATATCCCCGCCTACACCAGCGCCGGCGTGGGCGCCGTCAGCACAACTGCCTCCGGGCCCGGCACGACGGTCCAATCCACCATCCAAAGCGAGGCACGGACAACGCCTCCCATCTCTGCTCCCTTGCAAGACGCCCAGGGCGAGCATCCCACCAAGACCTACGCCCAGGTCTACACCGGTGTGCGCCAGGACTCCGGCGATCCCACCTACTTTGTGAAGATGGTCCGTGAATTTTACGACCGGGAGGGAATTAAGGAACCCAAGACGGTCGTGTTCTCGGACTCCCTGGACATCGAGCACTGTGTCGAATACAAGGTCATTGCCGAGGAAGCCGGCTTCCAGCCCGTTTTCGGCGTAGGCACCTTTTTCACGAGTACGTTTCATCCATCTTACCGCCTGTCTTCCTCATTCAACCCACTTCTTTCAATAGAGTGAAAGACCACTGAAAAGCCCACATGAACTAATATGTGACCCTACTTCGGGGAAACCAAAACAGATGATTTTACCAACAAATCTGACGGGGAGAAATCCAAGCCCCTGAACATCGTCATCAAGATCTCCACCGCCAACGGCCGGCCCGCCGTGAAACTTAGCGACAACATGGGCAAGAACACGGGCGACAAGGCAACTGTGCAGAGCGTCAAGAAGAAGCTCGGGTATATCGAGCATGAGTGGGAGAAGGGTGATGAGAAGAATCGGTGGACGCAGAAGGAATAGTGTGGCGTTTCCGACGCTTTTACCGACTTCTACCTACGCAGCCCTCGCGGCCTACTCCCTAACCATTGCTGAATTTCCACCCTAGCGAGCGAGTCTCCCAAGCTATCTACTCACTACCTTAGATTCGCGGGCCTTTTCCAGATTGAGTGCTGGGCTTGATTTTATGACTGTACGAAGTAGAGAAATAGAAAGACGAAGACATACAAGGGGATAAACCTGTTATATGTGCAATTTATTGTTGCTATCCTCCAACGCTGATGATAGATGGTTTGGTCTGTACAGGAGGTGTCGGGCTGATCTGTCGCTTTTTACTGTTGCTGATCGCCATGTATCTCGGGGATCAAAACATGCCATCCTCTTCTCCGGTTAACCCTAAATCCCGGTCCAGATCGCCCGTAATGTTCCTAGGGGTGAACCCGGTCGTCGTCATTTCGTGCTGCTGCACGTTGCCACTTATGCTTTCGGGGTCAAAGATCCGGAAGAGGTCATTGCGATCGTGGTCATCGGACGTCAGCTCACGGCCCTGACTTTGGCCCGGGTCAACCCAGCGGAGAAGCTCGTTCGCCCAGTCGATGTCCATGTCGGCGGCGGTGGTGTGGTCGGCTGCTGTCGCTGCCGTGGCGGTCGAGTCACGCCCTTCTTGGGATGGGAAGTCAGCATCATAACTGTCGAGGTCGAGGTCAAGGTCGAAGAAAAAGTCCGTTTGGTCTAGGATCGAGTTGTCGTGCGACTGGACTTGCTGGTCGGCTTGGGAGTTTTGTTGGCGGGGTGAAACAGAAGGATGATCGTGGAAAACATGACTGAAGGGATCCTCGAAATCATGTGGTGGGGTTGGTTGGGCTTTGTGTAAGGATGGAGGGTTGGCGTTAAGGGAGGCTGCCGTGGCTGATGATGCTGTGAGGTTGCTTTCGCGGCGGGCTCGGGAGGAGCCGCTGGCTCTAGGGTCGGGTTGTTTCAGGATCGGCGTGGCAGAGTCAGTTGGTTCCTGATCGTCTCGAGGAGGGGTCCATTGACTGGAATTTTTCCCATCCGCTGAGATCATCGTTCGGGAGGTGGAGGCAGTACTTGGTTTCCGCGCCTGATGTTGGTGCATGGTGTTCGGAGACGACGGAGTGTCCAGCTGCATGATTTGTAAAAGAGCGTTATTGCAGTCCGATTGAACCTTGACCGCAGCTTCGATGTTAGCTACTTCCATGTCTGCTGCGGGATAGATGTCTTGGAGCCCTTGCAAGACTTGGATGCAGCGCTGGAAGTGGTGGATGCTGGATTCTCGTGTTGAGGGGTTGCCGGATAACGAGTTCGTCAGATGGGCTACAGCAGCGGGGATGATTACCGTTACCCCGGATTGTGGCAGAAAGCGTGTGAGGTTCAATTGGTTGAGACCTTGAATGATATGAGTAATACCAATGACAGCGTCCTGCATCTTCGTCTGTGCTGTGTTAATTAGATCAAGACGCGCCTTGTGTTGATCCTTCTTGGGTAAAAATGCCCAGGGTCGGTATAGGGCGCTCGTCGTCGCATGGTATAGCATTCGTACCATTGCGCCGTGAAGAAGCAAGACATCTTCTCCATCATGGATATTGGTTCGTGACGCAGGGATGAATTGTGCATCCTTTGGGAGAGCGCTCAACCATGATTCGAGTCGCTGACTGCATCGTGCCAACTCTGATTCTGACGCTTGTCTGGGAACCAGACTGATAGTTGTCCGGTTTGTCACACCGAATTGGCACTGAGATGGTGAGTACTGCGCGAACAAGACTCTCCCTATGCTTTGGCACAGCTTGGCCTTTTCGATGAACATGGTAGCTAGGCGCTTTTGGTGGGATACGTCCTCGAGCTGACGACAGCGAAACATCTCAATGACTGCAGGATGAAAAGGCTCGAAGTCGAAGTCCTCAAGTCTCAACATGGGTACATTGCTTGTCCCCTCATTGACCTGAGTAGGACGCCTCAAACCCATGGCAATGAGACGATCGCGTGAGTATAGACTCCACCATATGCGAGCCCTCAGCCTCTTCATCTTTGGGTCCATATTAGCTGTGGATGCATCCCTGTTCAACCCTATTGAATGGGCTTGCGTATTGCAGACACCAATCCAATCCCAGATGTCTCTGTGCGGGTTATTCTGATGATCAGACCAATAAGTCATGAGAAGGAGTGTCTGCAAGATGACGATTCGATCGTCTTCGCAGTCCAAGGAGTAAAGCAGCTAGTGCTCCTAGTCAGCCCACAGAACAAAAAAGGAATCATGTTTGAGAGGGTGAACTGAGCATCGCACATACCCTCAACCGTGTAAAGAATACACTTCGCGCGCTTTTCCGGGTCGCATAACCAGCATCCTGCAGATGTTTGATATCCACGAACGCAGTGGCTACAAACATGACCGCCTGGAACAGCAGCAAGCTGACATTCCCATTGGGGTCATTCTCGGCCACGCACCTCAAGAACTCCTGTAGGTTCAGCACCGGCATGAAGCTGTGCACCCACTTGATATAGCAGCGCAGGAGCTCATTTCGCAGACCACTCTCGGGGATTGTCAGAGCTCCACGGAACCGCAGAAATTCCAAGTCCTCTTGGGGGATGCGTGCTGGAAGCGGCTTCAAAAATCGCGGCTCATCATCCAGCAGAGCGATTAGGGGATCGAAATCTGGGTCTATCAGATCTCGGACAGTGGAAACCATGTTCTCCAGTGGTAGGGAGGGTCGGTGAGCCCGTTCGCCCAAAGTCCGCCAGCTCCGAGACGGTCTGGCATCTTGTAGCCAGGGCGCATGCGGATTGTATCCCAGGCTGTTGCTTCTTTTAGGCGCCGGCGGATTATCATCGTCGGTCTCCGCACTTGGCGGCTTGCGCTTCGCTGCTAACATATTCTTTGGAATATATCAGCCACAATAAGAATAAGGTCGCCGGGGCAGCTGCGTTAGTTGCATGTAAAATAGGATCAAGCTTCCCTGACGCTTGTCCTCCGAGGCGAGGATTGTTTTTAGTCGGGGGTGGATAATGATGGGTTAGTTCCAGTCTTCCAGAAGTTGAGTGGAGTTTGGCTTAGATAATCTCTACTTTGATTGCCCCGCGCCGAAGAGAAAAGTTGGGGTCAGCTGTGGGGTGATACTAGGCCATTCTGGGTAGTTTGGCCTGTAGATCATTCAGTACGTACTAAATAGATATGATACAGTAGAGTCTCCTTATATCATAGGTGTATACAGTATAGTGCAGCAATAGGATTATATACAGATAATCCTAGTAGCCAATTCGCCCCCGTGACCGCAAATGGTATTTTTTTCTCTCAGCGGGAGACTCCTCTCTCTGCAGCCTTCTCTCCATCTCTATTTCCTTGCTCAGGGTCTTCTCCCTCTCCTTCTTCATCTCCACTTGTTGCTCTTTCAACTGCTCCTTGACACGCTCGTCGCGCTGAGTTTTCGTTTTCTGGAGCAGTACCTCTAAGTTTCCGATAGCCGCTTGAGGATCGTCTTTGTGCTCTAAAAGATGCCCCTGGAGCTCCGCAACCGTAAGTTGCCCCGTGGGGATCTGTGCGGCAAAGTCGCAGGCCAGCCTGTCGACGTCTCCAGATGTGATCATGGGCACTCGATCCCCATGTTGGATCTGCATTACATGCCTCAGAGTATGTAGAGGCGAGTAGAACGTCTTGAAATACGACTCCATCTCGTCACGTGCCGCGTACTTGAACTCGATGCGCATGTCCACCCGTCCGGGACGGATCAGTGCCGCATCCAACTTTTCGGCGTGGTTGCTCGTCATCATGAGAATGCGACCTTCACTTGCATCGACGCCGTCGATGGCATTGAGAAGAACAGAGAGCGAGATGCCGTTCTGAGTAAGGGGGCGTCCAGACATCATCATGTTCTGGTCGTTCTTGTCGTGCCCAGGTGCCCGTGACTTGGTGATATCCGTACAGTCCACATCCTCCATCATAACGATACACCTCGAAGGCAATTCGGAAAAGAGTGTTCGGAAGCTGTTTTCGTCCAGAGAAGACGAACTGGGGTCTATCACATAGATCGGTAGCTTCAGGTGTCCGGCAATGGCATAACATAGACTGGTCTTGCCAGTTCCAGGCGGGCCATGGAGCAAGTAGCCCCGACGATACGGAAGCCCTCGCACCTCGTAGACGGTTTTGTTCATGAGAAATCTCGCAATATCAGCCAAGACCCCAGCTTTGGTTTCCTGGTCAAGCACCACACTGTCCAGCGGCCTGGGAACACGCCCATCACACGGGTGCCACGCCCCCCCTCGGGCACTCCAAATCTCGACTTTATCCTGGTCTTTGTCAAGCCACGTCTGCTGCGCTTCGGCCAGCAGCTGCTTGAGCATGCCTAGGCCCCAGTTACAGAGCGGCAGTCCCCAGCAGGAGATGACGATTCGATCGTTGACATACGTGTCCTCGCTACTTTTGGTGCGCTGGAACTTGATCCAGCGCCAGAAACACCAAGAGTACCAAGGGCTGGCGTACAAAAAGTGGTGCTCCTCCGTGGAGGGGATGAAGTGCAAGGGCTGGGTCTGGCGTTGCTTGATAACCTTGTTCCACTATTCATCGAAATTGTCTCCTGACTGATACTCAGGCTCATTATCGTCTTGGCTGGGGTCAAGGCTGGCTCTTATATGGACATATCGACCGCCGACCGACAGCATGTTGCTGGCAAGGAGATGCTTGGCTCTAGTCATGGATCTATGATGTACCACCCAGTACATGAGATATCTGTAGATGCTGTCCTGGCCTTGTACCTCTATTCTGCAAGTGAATGAGTCACTAAGATATGCCAAGGCAGAGCTTAGTGGAGTCACAAACAATTGCAGAAAATGCCGCCATGCCATGCCGATACTGATGATGAGGAGGAAAATGTAATTATAATGGGACAGGTCAAAATTGAAGTGGGTCAATAGAAAATGAGACAGAAATGTGAATCCGGGCAAAGCGAACTCGAGCATGGCGTCTGGGGTCAGTGGCACTGTTAGATTTGCTTGCATCATGAAAGAATAATGCTAGTGGCGGTTGATTTGGGTCAGTCAATCGTCGTAGATGGTAAATATGATGCTCTATGCCATGATCTATGATCTCGAAGGGCACAAGAGGCTTTTATCAGTATTGATGATAATGCTTGCATGTCGAGGTTGAATGTTCCTTAATGTCCGGAGCAGACAAAGAGCCTTTATTCAATTCAATGGCCACCCTTTCAGTTGTTCACCCCAGACAGACAAGGGAGACTCGATAACAATAATAAGCAGAAGAATGATCGGCTTCTGAAAGGCATTCTCATTTATTGTGCTTTGTATCCACTCATAGATAGGCATTCAGCGAGACCGCCTGGCCGCACGACAATACCTCCCGAAAGATTCTCAAAAATAGATCGGTTGCTTACAGCGACATTTCAGTTCTTGATGCCCCAGGCACCATCACTTGCTTTCAATGTCACCCGGACCGATGATGTGAGTATATTTGTCTGTAAACGAGTCGACAACCTGCCTCTACTTGATAACCGGCCTCTTATGGGTGTATAGTACTAGAGGCTGTCGAAACATCTCGTGGCTCGTCTCACAGCGCGAGGTAATACCAAATGCAAAGGGTTTCAGAGACGCGTGACAGTGGCTTGGTCGAACTCTAGAACATCAACTATTTCCTGGGTACTACGCACGCAGGGTGTCCAAGACGAGCGAGACGTGATTAGGATCACATGTCTATTCAAACGACGGAAAAGAGAGACTCTCAGAGATGATATGGCAGGACTTATCCCATCCACCAGCGCTGCGAGCCGTTTTATGCACGAAAAATATAATACACGTATTCATTAACTTCGGATGTCGAGAGCAATAGCATAGAAAGATTCCGCACGTATCCAGTGATCAATGGTCGACCCGATTCCCGGCCTGTCGGGCGGCCTTCATATTCACGGAGTTGGACGGAGGCATAGGGTATCCATTTACATACTGCTCATCAATCATTAGCAACCTGTGTGATCCTGGCCGGCCGACGTCCTGAGCGGTTGACAGGGACTCGGTGTTAACTCGAACTTACGGAGGGAGGAGGAGCTCGCCGAGGCTGCTGTGGAGGAAAGCGACGCCAGCCTGATAGAAGAACAGTTAGTTTTTCGGTCCCTATTGCAAGATGCCAATGCAGGAATTTGAGATTTGGCACTTACACCGAAGACAAGAAGGCTTCGAACGATGGTAGCGTTTTCGGCGGCAGTAAGTTCCTCATAGGCGGTGCTGAGGAAACCCTTCTGGGGGCGACCGGAAACGACGCGCTGTCTGGGGGCCATGATGTGAATGAGACGTGGAGGTGGATGGATTAAAGCTGGAGCTTGAGAGGGGGGTTGTTGTAATGCGTTGTAGAGATGAATGGAGTAAATGGAGTTGCGGTTGAGGGCAATGCGGAATGATGCCGGAGTCCGAGAAATCTTTCCATGCTTGGCAGCTGCGCCTTTAGCTTATCGCGGCACCCGTATCGGCTTGCGAGCTGCGGCGCGATCAGTCAATCAAGCAGCAGCAGCCAGCGATCGCAACTTACTTGAATTGGTCAACAAGGCGGATTCACGTACTGGATATCAGACTGATCGATTTGTATACCGCGTATTCACTTGACAGGAGTTGGCGGTGACGAGATCCTTCGTGAGTTCCACTCGCGCAAGCCGCAGCTATGACGAGCATCGATGAGCTCTTCAAGGTACAGAACCTAGGATGACAATATGGCCCCAAACGCTTTCTAACGTCTAAAGAAACCTTCATCCGCAGCGAGTTCAAAGCGCAAGTTTGACGCCTCGAAAGACCCAAGTTCGTTACGAAAACCCCTCTTGTCCGGCGGACGGTGCTGACGTTCAATGCAAGATGAGCTCTATAAAGCGGCTAAGCTGGACGCGGGTGGAGATGTTAAATCAAAAGGGAAGGTGGCGATGGTAGAAGAAGAAGAAGAAGAAGAAGAAGGCGACGCAGAGGACGACTATGCCGGCCCAGAATTACCCCCGGATTTCGAGGCCGAAGATGTTCCCGACGACGAAGAAGGCCGCTTTTTCGGCGGTGGTATGGAGCGCCAGACCGCTCAGGCTATGCAATACATTGACCAGCATGAAGAGGAAGAGACATCGGTAAGGCAATGGCTCGTGGAGCTGCATGGGGATGAGTGCTGATGTGGCTTAGCTGGAGAAATTCGACCTTGCCTGGGTGCGACGATTCGCCCTGAATTTCGAGAAGAAGATATCCAAGAATGCCGAGCTTCGCGGTAAATTCGAGAATGATCCCCAAAAGTGGGTTTTATCTGGGTCGCTATTGATATGGAAGAACAAATCTTGCTAAGCTTCCTAGGTTCATGGCTTCGGAAGCGGACCTCGATACTGAGATCAAGGGCCTATCGATTCTCTCCGAGCACCCCGAACTGTTCGATGAATTCGCAAAGTTGGGCTGCGTTGGCTCACTTGTATCCTTACTCTCCCATGAAAATGCCGACATTGCGATCGATGCCATCCAAATCATTGGGGAACTGACCGACGAAGATGTGGAAGCTGAGCAGGAGCAATGGGACACACTTGTCAACGCTATGGTATATTCACTTGAATACCGAAGCTAGAAAATTGCTAATCGTGGTAGATGGATGCCGATCTCATTGAACTACTAGCGCAAAATCTGTCTAGGCTAGACGAAGAATCCGAGGTTGACAGAGCAGGAGTATACTACGTGCTAAGTGAGTCCGCTGTCCTTCGATAACTCGACAAACTACTAAGACCTCCAAAGATGTTCTTGAAAACCTCGCTTCGCAAGCGTCAATTGCCGAGAAGATAGGAAAGGACCCCAATGTTCTGCCTTGGCTCATATCTCGTATTCAGAAAAAGGAAAGGCCCGTGAGCCAGAACCAACAATATTCGGCTGAGATTCTGGCAATCTTACTTCAATCTACAGCCAAGAATCGCGACAGGTTCGTGAGATTGGACGGCGTCGAGGTTCTTCTCCAATTACTTAGCCAATATCGCAAGCGTGATCCGGAGAAAGATTCTGACGAGGAGGAATACGTCGAGAATCTGTTTGACTGTTTGATTTGCGTCGTTGATGAGGAATCTGGCAAGGAAAAATTCTTGCAAAGTGAAGGGATTGAACTCGCTCAGATTATGCTGAAAGAAGGGAAGTTCAGTAAACAGAGAGCTTTACGAGTCTTGGATCATGCTCTAGGTGGTGCAGCCGGTGCAAGTGCATGCGAGAGGTTCATTGAAGCAGCATGTTTGAGTACTGTGTTTGGCATGTTCAAGCGCAAGGTATGTTGAATCCTTCTCGTGAGTGCTCGGGCTGCGTTGACATTCAGCAGCAAGAGAACCAGACGGTCGAACATTTACTGGGCATTTTTGCTTCTCTCCTGCGCCTGTTACCTGGAGGGTCCGCGCCGCGTATCCGTACCCTTGCCAAGTTCATGGAGAAGGACTATGAAAAGATCGAGAAACTCGTTAAGCTACGACGGGATTATGCCTCGAGAGTATCCCCCGTCGAGCAAGCGATTGAGAAGGAACGGAAAAGCTTCACACCAGAGGAACAGGAGGTCATGGCCAGCGAATGGTTATCCCGGCGGTTTGACGCTGGGCTGTTTTCGCTTCAGGTTCGCAGCTCATACTTGACTCCAGTCTCAGTCCCGCCCACATCCTCTGACACTTTTGCAGCTCATTGACGTGATACTGGCTTGGCTTGTGGCCGAAGATGATGGGGCCAAGAGGAAGATTGTTTCCCTTCTCGCAGACCGGGATGAGGATTTGTCCTCGATCAAGGCAACCTTACAAGGTATGGGGATAACATACCACCTAAACTCTTCACCATGGGAACAAAGACTGACGATCCTGTACATCCAGAGCAAGTAGAAGGTCTTTCGGAGGAAGATCCGGGGCAAAAGGATCATAAGGAGATGCTGGAGACGCTTCTACAGTTTGTATGATGGGATACGGAAGGCCAAGTTTGGTATAGCTGCTAGCAAACCATGAGCATTCACCCAAGGTGCATAAGCATAGGAAGCACAGGTTGAGTTGATCGAGGGTGAGGTCATTGTGGATGTACTGTGTATTGTAATGTAACACCAAAGTGAATCGAATTCAATAAATAAATACCGATCACGTGACTGTGCTTCTTTGTTTCGGATTAGTGTTATCCCTTAGTTGGTCTAGTTTAGTTTAGTAAACTTCCAGCGGCGCCAGCAGCAGCAGGCGGTCGGGAGGGACTAGTGGCGGCTCTCTCTCTCTGCTCATCAAGCAAGATCCATCATCGCCCACCCGGAGACTTGAAGCACTTCCCCCAGCTGCTTGCTCCCTTCACCAGCATCACCGGTGGCCTGGGTCTTTCTTCAAACCTCATCATCCTCTTGAGGCTCCCGGCTCTTTGACTGCTTCTGTCCTTGCTCATCTCGAAATCTCACCCCCGGTGTCTACCCTCTGACATTAGCCCTTTGGCGACCGTCGAGTGGGATATTTTCCGCCGAGCGCGTCGCGCCCTTTGCGCCTTCTTGAATCTTTGTCTTTTATTCCGCTAGGTCCGTGACCGATTTTCCGTCAAGATGGCCGACTACGAGGATGCATACGAGGACGAGTACTACGATGATATGGACGAGGGGATCACGTCGGAGGATTGCTGGACCGTTATCTCGTCCTTTTTCGACACCAAGGGTCTGGTTTCACAACAGCTAGACTCTTTCGATGAGTTCATCTCGTCAACGATGCAAGAGTTGGTGGAGGAACAAGGCCAAGTGACTCTAGATCAGACGCTTCCCCCCGCCGAAGATGAAATCGACCCGGTTGTTGTCCGCCGATACGAGCTCAAGTTCGGAACTGTCATGCTCTCCCGCCCCTCCGTGACGGAAGGTGATGGTGCGACGACCATCATGTTGCCGCAGGAGGCTCGTCTGCGTAACCTCACATATGCCAGTCCTCTATACCTGGGTGTCACCAAGAAGATTATGGAGGGTCGGGAACGTCTGATTGCCGACCGGGATGAGGATGAGATGGGTGACCCGAGCGAGGATCGCAAAGCTCATGGCACCTATCTTTCGTGGGAGCAGAAGGAACTACCCGCTGACCAAGCTAAGGAGGAGACGGTATTCATCGGAAAGGTGCCCATCATGCTCAAGTCCAAGTACTGTATTCTTAAGGACTTGAGCGAACAGGCTCTCTACAACTGGAATGAGTGCCCTTACGACTCGGGCGGTTACTTCATCATTAACGGAAGTGAGAAGGTTCTGATCGCCCAGGAACGCAGTGCTGGCAACACGGTCCAGGTTTTCAAAAAGGCACCACCTAGTCCCACACCTTATGTTGCGGAAATTCGCAGTGCTGTCGAGAAGGGTTCGCGGCTTTTGTCACAATTGTCCCTGAAGCTGTTTGCGAAAGGTGATAGTGCCAAGGGTGGATTTGGTCCAACGATCCGGTCGACACTGCCCTACGTGAAGACCGACATTCCAATTGTGGTTGTTTTCAGAGCTCTCGGAGTGGTCTCTGATGAAGATATTCTGAACCACATTTGTTATGACCGCAACGACACACCTATGCTGGAGATGCTGAAGCCATGTATTGAAGAAGGTTTCGTTATTCAGGACCGCGAGGTCGCGCTTGACTTCATCGCCAAGCGTGGGTCTTCCCAGTCCAGCATGAACCACGAGCGCCGTGTTCGCTATGCCCGTGAGATCATGCAGAAAGAGTTCCTCCCGCATATCTCTCAGAGCGAAGGTAGTGAGACGCGGAAAGCCTTCTTCTTGGGTTACATGGTGCACCGACTTCTCCAGTGTGCTCTGGGTCGTCGGGATGTCGACGATCGTGATCATTTCGGTAAGAAGCGCCTGGACTTGGCCGGTCCTCTTCTTGCGAACCTTTTCCGAGTTTTGTTCACCCGCGTCACCCGCGATCTACAGCGATATGTTCAGCGGTGCGTGGAGACGAACAGAGAGATTTACCTGAACATTGGTATCAAGGCTAGCACCTTGTCGGCAGGATTGAAGTATGCTCTTGCTACGGGTAACTGGGGTGAGCAGAAGAAGGCAGCTAGCTCCAAGGCCGGTGTGTCTCAGGTGCTCAGTCGTTACACTTACGCCTCCACATTGTCCCATCTTCGTCGAACCAATACACCCATCGGGCGAGACGGAAAGATCGCCAAGCCTCGTCAGCTTCACAACACTCATTGGGGTCTGGTGTGTCCGGCTGAAACCCCCGAAGGTCAAGCTTGTGGCTTGGTCAAGAACTTGGCTCTCATGTGCTACATCACCGTCGGTACGCCCAGCGAGCCTATCATTGATTTCATGATTCAGCGTAACATGGAAGTCCTCGAGGAGTTCGAACCTCAAGTGACACCGAACGCTACCAAGGTGTTTGTCAATGGTGTCTGGGTTGGTATCCACAGAGACCCCGCTCACCTTGTCAACACGATGCTTTCCCTTCGTCGCCGCAACATGATCTCGCACGAGGTCAGTCTGATTCGAGACATTCGTGAGCGGGAGTTCAAGATCTTTACCGATGCTGGACGCGTCTGCCGGCCGCTCTACGTTATCGACAATGACCCAAAGAGTGAAAACTGCGGCTCTTTGGTGCTTAACAAAGAACACATCCGCAAACTGGAACAAGATAAAGACTTGCCTCCAGATTTGGATCCAGAAGACCGCCGCGATCGTTACTTCGGTTGGGATGGCCTGGTGAAGTCTGGTGTAGTGGAGTACGTCGATGCTGAAGAAGAAGAGACCATCATGATTTCCATGACTCCGGAAGATCTCGAAATTTCCAAGCAACTCCAGGCTGGTTATGCTCTTCCGGATGAGGAGCTACACGATCCCAACAAGCGTGTACGCTCCATTCTCAGTCAAAAAGCGCACACTTGGACTCACTGCGAGATTCATCCCAGTATGATCCTTGGTGTTTGTGCCAGTATCATTCCCTTCCCAGATCACAACCAGTCTCCCCGTAACACCTATCAGTCTGCTATGGGTAAACAAGCCATGGGTGTCTTCTTGACCAACTTCGACCAACGTATGGAGACGATGGCCAACATCCTCTACTACCCTCAAAAGCCCCTGGCCACAACGCGGTCCATGGAATTCTTGCGATTCCGCGAGCTCCCCGCCGGTCAGAACGCCATCGTCGCTATCGCTGTCTACTCTGGTTATAACCAGGAAGATTCCGTTGTGATGAACCAGAGCAGTATCGATCGTGGTTTGTTCCGCAGTCTCTTCTACCGTACTTACACCGACAGCGAGAAAATGGTGGGATTGCAAGTCATTGAACGCTTCGAGAAGCCGATGAGATCGGACACCCTCGGCATGCGGAAGGGAACCTATGATAAGCTTGACGAGGATGGCATCATCGCCCCGGGTGTTCGTGTCTCCGGTGAGGATATCATCATTGGTAAAACCGCACCTTTGGCTCCAGACGCGGAGGAGTTGGGCCAACGGACCAAGGCGCACACCAAAGCGGACGCTTCCACTCCCCTCAGAAGCACGGAGAATGGTATCGTGGACCAGGTGTTGGTATCTACGAGTAACGACGACCTGAAATTCGTCAAGGTGCGCATGAGGACAACCAAGGTTCCCCAAATCGGTGACAAGTTCGCCTCGCGTCACGGACAGAAGGGTACCATTGGTATCACTTACCGTCAAGAGGATATGCCATTCACCCGTGAGGGTGTGGCTCCCGATTTGATCATCAATCCCCACGCCATTCCTTCTCGTATGACAATTGCCCACTTGATTGAGTGTCAGCTTAGTAAGGTTTCTGCGCTACGTGGATTTGAGGGTGACGCCACACCGTTCACCGATGTCACGGTCGACTCAATTTCCCGTCTTCTTCGTGAACACGGCTACCAGTCTCGTGGATTTGAGGTGATGTACAACGGCCACACGGGGCGCAAGATGGTAGCCCAGGTCTTCTTAGGGCCGACCTACTACCAGCGTCTGCGCCACATGGTGGACGACAAGATCCATGCCCGTGCACGTGGGCCTACGCAGATCTTGACGAGACAGCCTGTGGAGGGTCGTGCCCGTGATGGTGGTCTTCGATTCGGAGAGATGGAGCGCGATTGTATGATCGCGCACGGAGCCAGTGCCTTCCTGAAAGAGCGGTTGTTCGATGTGTCGGACCCCTTCCGCGTGCATATCTGCGATGACTGTGGCTTAATGACCCCGGTTGCGTAAGTTTGACGATGCTTCCCTGATTAGTGGACTGTAGTGAATGGGCCATGCTAACGGAGATTCTGCAGAAAACTCAAGAAAGGTCTATTCGAGTGCCGACTCTGCAACAACAAGCACCGTATTTCGCAGGTGCATATCCCATATGCAGCCAAGCTTCTGTTCCAAGAGCTGGCCTCGATGAACATTGCCGCTCGCATGTTTACCAACCGGTCTGGAGTGTCCGTGCGGTGAGAGAGAGAACAAGGAATACCATCCATGTACATCAGTTGAATTTCTTTTTCTTTCCATTTTTTCCCCTCTCTTTCCTCACCCCCGCCTCTCTATATCATGATAACTTCCTTTCTCGCCTTCCGGTGTTTTCCTTTTCTTTTTTTTTTCCCTTTGAATTTGCTTCCCATCCTTCCCCACTATCAAGATCTGCGATATCAACCGAAGACTCGACTGATTCGGCATTTTCCGGCGTACAAAGGATCTGAGGATTGTGATTTCTTTTCTTTTTCTTTTTTTTTTTTTTTTTTTATTTTTGGCGGATGATGATGAGTGAGCAGCGAAGGGGTTGGGATTACGATATACTTTGCTGTACTTTGACTGAATAAATCCTGGCTTTGGAGCCGAATCAATAATAATAAGCCGTGGTTGTGTAGGTGAAGAGGTGCAGGATGTGCAGGATGTGCCCATGCCATGCACGTCTGCATATTCCCCCTCTTTGTCATGCAGTCCTCCCCACCCGGACTGTCCGTGATAATGGAGACATGTGTAGTGATAGGTGAGGCATTGGCCAGTGAGGGAGCAGACTTTGACCCTCTACGAGTCTATTCTGGGCTTCCCCTCCTCAATCTGGTGAACTTTAACCTCGATGATGGGTGACGATAGTGCAGCAAAGAGTGAAGAAGGAGAATGTCATAGGTTCAAGGTTGCTGGCTGGGCGGCAAGCAACGCTTTCTTAATGGCTGAAGGCTCGGAGACGGGCTGGAGAGAGCAGGCCAATCGAACCCTGGACTTACCCGCTGCTGGGGTGTGACAGTCCGTCACTTACCTGGCAGTTTACTATTCCTAGTGTAGGTAATTAGTTACCATCTTTCATGTGGATGTGGACAACTCCTCCCTCCCTCTCTCCCTCCCTCACCTCATAAAAGAGCCTTCTTACCCGCCGGGCCCTCGTCGGCCTTCCCTCCTTTTCCCTTCTTTTTTTCTTTCTTTCTTCAGCAAGCTAGTCTTGTCTGTTCTGCCTGTGGTTTTTGAAGTATCCTGTGCACTGGTTGCACTTGCTTGTTTGTTGTTTCTTCATCCTCATACTTCATCTTCAATTCTTACCAACCCCATTTTATACTACCCTTAATATCACCCACCTACCAAAACAAAAAAATCATAACCATAACCATCCTAGAGCTGTGCTTCTGGATGTTCCCTTGTTGTTGTCTTGCTTCATTTCGCACAGGATACTTCAGAACTGTACAAACTTCCCACGGTTCAATACCTTGTCGCTGGTCGACATTAGTTTTTGTTCCCGATTTGCTTCCAGCTCAGACAAACTTGCTCGTCTTACACCTTAATCTTCTTTCTACCTTTTGACGTGTCGAGGACTGGATCCCCGTCAAGCCTAACGCTTTGTTGTCTTGCACAGCCAACGAACCAACAGTTCAGCAATCCGCCGCAGCACGAGGCTGAATCGAATTGACTCTGGCAGTCACTTCGCCCCGGCAACATTAGCACCGCCATCGTCGACACGATTATTTATTCTATTCCTTTCTACCATAATCTAATCTTCTAGTATAATTCTGGTCCGATTCATTTGCATACTATCGCCATAATGTCGTCCGTTCAGCTCAAGTTCTCTCTTCGGACGTCCTCCAATGTCAAGACCGTCCACCTGGTCGGTTCGTGGGACAACTACTCCCGACAGATCCCTCTCTCGCGCGATGAGAACAAGTCTGGCTCGTGGGTGGGCAAGTTCCGCTTCCAGACTTCCATGCTCAAGTTGGGTGGCCGCTACTGGTACTACGTCAGTGATCCTGCTTCCTTCTCTCCTAATGACGCACCTTGCTGACTGACTGACTACAGTACATCATGGATGGCTATCACGTCTCCCATGACCCTGCTGTTGAATATACTGTGGAGCCCACCACTGGACGCAAGCTCAACATCCTGGATGTTCCCGGCGGCAAGTCCTCCAGCTCTTCCTCCGCCCCAAGCAAGAGCCACCGTCGGACCTCGGCGGCCTCGGAAGTGGTCAAGGGCCGGGCTCTCTCGCCATCCAAGATTCAGCACCCCAAGCCCTCCAAGCCCTACGCCTCTCGCCAGATCCGGGAGACTGACTTTGTCGGTGGGCCCCCCACCATGGACGATCTGACCCGGCGGTTTGCGGGATCCCGTCTGTCGGACGAGTACTCCCTCTCCAACAGCCCGCCCAGCTCTGCGGGCAGCTCGTTGTCGTCCCGCTCCTCGGGCAGTACCTCTCCCTCGTCGCTCAGTTCCATGAGTGACCCCCCGACCCCAATCTGCCGGTGTGAGCGCTATGGGATCACCCGCAAGGGAGACCGTGTCAAGCTAGACTGTGGAGGCAGTCGCTGCGGGTATGTTACCGAGTCTTCGGAGGCCAGTTGCTCCGAGTCGGAGGACAGTGATGAGGAGTACAGACGGGCACGGAGTGCCGTCAGAAGGCAGGGAATTGTTGTCCGGAGATAATCTCATTGTCTGTGAGGTGATGAAGGAAGAATGTCGATTCTCATCGATCAGCTCATGCGCACTGTCAGGATCCGTTCCTCTATCCTTGATGGTGTGCTGGCAGCGTGACGTGGAGCAGACTACTCATTTTGGTTTGGGACCGGACCGATTTATACTAAAATGGACCGTATAACATGTTGCCCCTTTCTGGCAGAGACGGGGCAATGTGGACCACAGATCTGGCACTCGAAGAGGCTCACAGAAAACAGATGGAAAAAAAAAAAAAAAAACAGAAGAGGGAGAAGATCAGGGGACAGTGCCAGACTGTGGGCTCTGCTACGGACGAGCCGGTCTCGCTTCGCTGTAGTGGAGGTGGTGGTTGTGAAGGAAGTGAGGAGTGTCTCGTCGAAGGGGGTGGAAGGAGACAGTAGGTGGGGATTGAAGAAGGAGAAAGAGAATTATGGCTGTGGTGAGAGTGGTGTGGTCAGGAGTGAAGAACGAACAACGGAAATATCCGCCCTCTACTAGAAACAGCAGTATGGCCCGGCGGATGGAATGACAGGATGAGTGGTCCCGGTAAGGCCTTTCCATCAATGCCCTGACAAGTCCTCTATTGGTGCGCCGGGACATGAATGATGAAGTGATGATTTGATGGTTTAACTTATCAATGCCTACTTTATGACTGCAAGCGATGGTGTGCGTAAACATTTGTAGGAGATGTCGCTTGGTGGTTGAGATGAGTTGAAGAGAATACTACGTATATAAGAAGCCGCAAAACCAGTAGCACCAAGTATGGACCGCAATCAGGTGCTGGTATTTTAAGGCTTCAACAAACAGCGCCAGAAAGTCATCGATGTACTGTACAGTACAATAATCCACTGTGTAGTGCCTTCATCAACGCGGCCAAGGGCATTTCAGCGAGGAACTCACTTTTTGATCAGACTTCGCCTAGCGAATTGCAGCTCCAGTTTTGTGCCAGGTCTTTCATCTGGACGGTCAGCCCTACAGGTCCCGAAAATTACCTCATCATGCATATCATCGCGAACCAGGACCCCTTTCTCAGGACAAGATTACCCATTGTACCCAAGTCTCTGGTTCCCTTAGTGAAGAGTACGAAGCTTTTCTTTTAGTCATAATGAATTACAATAGAAATGATATTCAATAATGCTCACAGCAGGGGATGCGAGGAAGCATTCCGAATTCCCGATATTCCGAATCCATGAACCATGAAATCCAGAGGATTGTTGCCTGATACGGTGGCTGGACTGGAGGCGGAACAAACCAGGCCAATTGGCGGGCACGTGGTGGAGGAATTTGGTTCCAAGTTTCTATTCTCGAGTTCAGCCCTACGCCATGGTTTTTATCCACTTCCACTTCCACTTCCACTTCCACTTCCACTGCCCGATGCCATCAGCCGGGTCAACACTCGGGTGTTCCCACCAAAACTGAGATGGTTTCTTATCACGAAGCAATGGACATTGCTTATGGTTGGACCACTAAACCTGCTTGGTCCAATCCCCGGCAGGCTTGATCGAGAACGGGGCTGCTTGTCGTCCTGCATATCCTGCAGCCTTACGGCCGGTCACTCCCCCTCCCCTCTTTCGCTCTTTCGCTCTTTCGCTCTTTCGGAGAACACCCGACCCATTGAAAGAGATGTTATGTTTTGGCTCTGGAGGAACAAGCCATTCCAGCTGAACCGGGTGGATATTGAATACCAACGCTGGTCCGTGAGGTTCAGCCTGACCGGGAATTCTCTCCCCTCCCCACTGATCGACTGCTTGCAACTCTGCCCTATGAGGCTGGCCTACCTGGGGGGACCACCAATCTGCCCTCTTGGTTTTCGGCTGCATTCTATCATTCCGTCTCTTCTTTTCTCTTTCCCTTTCCATTTCCCTTCCCCTTCCCTTCCCTTTCCTTCCCACCTTTTCTCTTCTTGCTTTCTTGCCCACCCTTCCGCCCCTCCTGCTCGGTCATGCTACCATCCCTCAGTGCTCTTTCCCCTGTGGCTTCACTAATTTTTGCTTAACCTCGACGGTTCTGCTTCTTGCTTGTCACCGTCTGTTCTTCATCTTCAATAATCCCCGTGATGGAAGAGGTCCGCTCGAAGAGCTCTCAAGCAATCATCCATTAACAGCCGAGGTCTCGGTTTATGGACTCTTCACATCGGAGTCGACTGTTCTCCTCTGTTCGTTATCGAAAACAACTTAGAACGACAACTGTGCTTGTCCGGCGGTGTCAACTTGTCTTGATCTTTGCATCCGGCTAATGATTGAGTCCTTTCTGTGAACATGCTCCTGGGTCGCCTTAACAATCAAGATTCCTTCATTCAACATACTGCAGACCACTGTTGTAAATTGCATCCATCGCTGTCGGGCTGTCGCGTCGTGCGACTAGCTACCATTCTTTGATCGGTTAATCGTCTGCTGCCTTTCATACCTATCGCAGCGCACGCAGGACGTTAGATTTGCCATTTTGTTCGAGACAACCTATGCCTTTCAACTTGTCACCCACCACCATAATACACAATCATCATGTGCTACAAACTCGTGGAACGATTCGCAGCTTGCCGGTGTCTCTACTTCCAGCACGCGGTTGACCCGTGTGAAGCCTACGGTCAGCGCGGCCACTCTGTCCAGGAAAAAGTCGTCCTGGTCGGATACGCCTGCGCTCAACACTCAATCAAATTCAACAGCGGCATTGCAGGCGACCTTAGAACGCCTCAGGACTCGGGATATTCCAGTAGCAAGAGTTGAATCTTGCTGGGTGTGATGGACATCCATCGGATGGCAACTTCCACTCTTGGCTCAGCAGCTGCCCTCAAGGATTGTGTCCTTGATGCATCTCACCATCTATCAGGCTGCGACCCTCGTCTCTACTCCTTTATAGTTCGATTCGGTTAGGATTTGGCAGGCTCCTCCCAAACTTGTGTCTTTGGAAGATACTCTTCTTTTCTCGATACTTTGACATGCCGGGGTGGCTGCGCTCTCCGGTCGCTTCACCCACCTAATATCTTCGTTTATCAACTTCGTTTCCCGTCGATTCATTGGCTATGTACACGTTCGTGCATGCAGTCGGTCTCGTATAGAATTAGCATAGCGACGCGGTTTGGGTTATGCTGCTATGTTCCAGCTCGATGCAATGAACGAGGCGCATTGTGGCCAATGATTTTGGCATTGTCTCAATAATGAGAATCTCTTCGAGAGGTGGAATACTACCACTTGGAGAGAAAGCGTATCAGGAATACGTTAATAGTGCCGGCTTTAATCGCTGGGTATTTTTCTTCTTGTATATGATATACCTGGTTTTGCCTGAACGTTTAGCTGACACGATACACAAAGAGGGTACCAAGTAGTTCATTCCTCAGTATTTTGCTGTTCTATATCTTTCATAAACAATAGATGAGTGGTTTGGGATGTAAATAATAGCACGCAGCTGCTGTGCCACTGTCACTCTCGAGTTGTTTACCTCTTAGTAAGCAGCTTTTTCGTACCCGGAACATCTAAACTCCGACGTGTCTCTATCGATTGGCTCCTCCGATCGATAAGCACGAAGCATCCTTAACTTTCCAGCCGAATCCCTTGCGACCATCGATCTCCCATTGCGCTAGCCTCTCGATCAACCACTCCATCGCTGAACCACACATCACAGTGCTAGCATCACGAACCGCAGACTCCCGAACACAGTGAGCACACGGTGCTGAAGTTACAGCTTTTAACTGTGCTTCAGCATTGAGACCGTGAGCAGCCAGCGTGAAGGATGTCGCAATTACAAGAGGACCCCGCCACGGTGCTCGAACAGTTCGTGCACGATGTGGCCAACTTACCCGCCGAAATCAATCACCTGATGGAGGAGATTCAAGCCAAAGACAAGACCATCCAAGAATGCCGGACGACCATCAACTCGCGCGACACCAGTCTCCAGAAATTCATCAAACTCAACGGCAGCCTGACGCCCAACCCGAAGGAGGAGCAATACAGCAAGACCATTCTGCAGAATCTCGACAAATCGCAACTCCTGCAGGACGAGAAGATCCAACTCAGCGAGAAGGCCTGCGTTCTCCTGGACCGCCAGATCAAGCGGCTGGACATCGCGATCCACAAACTCCAAAGCAACGGCATGCTCTCGAACGACCCCCCGCTCCCTTCCCTCTTCCACAACAAAGACCAATACCGCGACCCCCCGCGCATCTTCTTCCCGGACGCCACCGTTGACACCGCCGGCGGCGCATCCTCCTCCCCAACCGCCCACGCCACCAATGGCGGCGGCGGCGGCGGCTCTGCCTCCGCCTCCGGCGGCGCGGCGAACCTCATCCTGGGCGCCACCCAACGCCTGAACCAGTCCCTCGGCCGCAACGCCACGACCGCCGCGGCGGCGGCCGCTCTGCTGAGCTCCCCGTCCGCCGCGCGCTCCTCCGCCCCCGCCACCCCGTCGGGCACCGTGCACTTCCAGCAACGGCACCAGCGCGAATCGTCCGCCGGCGCCGTCGAGAACAAGCGCCGCCGGCTGAACGCCTCCCTGGGCACCCTCCCCGCCGCCTCCTCCAACCTCCGTCAATCCTCGTTGGGCCCCGGCACCCCGAAAGGCGGGGGCACGCCCGCCTCCAGCCGCGCTGGCAGCGCCGGGCCCCGCAGCTCCGCCTCGACCACCAAGAAGGCCCTCACCAAGAAGGTCGCGCCGCACCAGCAGCTCAAGAAACTCAAGGCCGGCAGTGGCGGCGGCGGCGGCGGCGGTGGCGGCGGTGGCAGCGGCGGGTTGAGTGGGAAGCACACCAAGCGATCCTCCAGCGCCAGCGGCCGCCTCAAACTCACCAAGAAATTCTCCCCTTCGTCATCAGCGGCTGCTGGACCGGGTGGTGGTGGTGGCGGCGGGGGTGAAGACGACGAGGATGACTCCCTGCTCAGCAGCGCCGACATGTCGGACTCGGAACATGCCGGGGTGGGCGGCGGCGGCGGCGGCGGCGGCGCGGAGGACGATCTGGACGAGGAGGAGGAGGACGAGGGCAACGAGGATACCAAGGTGTATTGTACGTGTCGCAGCGTCAGCCATGGCGATATGGTGGCGTGCGACAACGAGGACTGCGAGTTCGAGTGGTTCCATTGGAAGTGTGTCGGGTTGACCCGCGAGCCCGTGGGCAAGTGGTATTGTCCGCAGTGTTCGGCGAAATTGGGGGCGTGATCTTAGGTGTTTTTGTTTTTTTTTTCCCCCTTTTCTTTCTGGGGCGGGTGGTGGGCTGCTCCCGGTGTCTGTCGTCTTTATACCCTTGTACTTTTGTTTTCATCACTTTGGAGTTAGATTTAGCACCCCTTCATGCATGGAATGGTTGATGGCTTGAGGAGTTTAGTGGGCCTAGCACATGATCCCAACTGACCTAATATACCAACCAAGCTGTAGATGTATGTTATCCTTGACTACGTACCTTAATTAACCTGTTTTTACCTTCTGTATCCTTAGTATCATGGTTCAGAAAGGTTTAGAAACCCAGGGATAAATACCGTAAGGCTTGAACCCCCCAATCCAGATATTCAGTGACTGGCTTCCCCTAAAGATACGAAGAGAGAGTGCAGTGCCGTGCAGTGCCGTGGCTACCAGCAACCGGTAGAGATCTTGTATTTATTCTTGTTTCCACATTCCTTTCTTCGAGTTTATATTGAAAATATAGAAGCCTTCTGCTGACAATCCTAGTAAATGTCCTGCTTGAGCTGAGCAAGAAGAGTAAGACCGATCACGCATTGATATCAGACAGTCACGTGTGAAACACAGCAAGAAAAAATGATCACAACATAAAAAGACGCCATCGCTATGCAACTGCAAACGCAAAACAAGATCATTCGCCCTGCGCAAGAGCTAGTTGTCCCCTTTCTTTGTGGATGCGCGAAAGACTGGTATACATAAAAAGTGGTTTAGTAAGTGATGTTGGG